TAGCATTGGTCTAATGATAGAAGAGAACAGGCGAGTGGCAACCGCTTCAGACCATGTTCCGAAGCTACGTTTGAGCGCCCAAAGCATGCGCAGTCCGTTCCGATATAACCTGTTCGTGTTGTCCACGGACTTCAAATCGTAGCGTGAGAGTACACCTAGGTCCTTCACGGAGGGTGTGGGATATAGCGTTTGGCCCTCAAGAGTGTAGGTTCGGCCGTCTGCACCCTTCCCCAGGCTCATAAATACGGACTTGGCTGGGTTGACCGGGAGAACAACTTCTGCAGACCATGTGGATAAGCGGTTGAGATCTTGCTGGAGTAGGCCACAGTCATTGGGAGCGTCGATTTCTCTCCAAATCTTCATGTCGTCCGCAAACAAGGCACACGGCGACTGGAGAAGCTGCGGTAGATCATTGATGTGGATCAGGAACAGAGTGGGCCCCAGCACAGTGCCTTGAGGCACGCCACTTGTAGAGTGGTACCAGTCAGTTAGATGGTCGTCGACCTGTACTCTCCACTTTCGTCCAACAAGAAAGTCACGGATCCACCGGTGCAGAAAGCCACCGACACCACACATGCTGAGTTTGTGAAGGAGAACCTCATGGCTGACCTTGTCGAACGCTTTACTGAAATCGATGAATATCACGTCGACGGACTTCCCCTTGTTTACTGCCTTCAACCACTCATGCCTCGTCACAAGCAGGTTCGTAATGCATGAGCGACCTTGCATAAAACCGTGCTGTGCGGGCGTCAGGACCTCGTTTGACTGTAGCAACTGCAGCAATCTCTTCTTCACGATTTTCTCAGCAACCTTTGCCAAAATAGGTGTCAGACAAATTGGCCTGTAATTGTCTACTTTGCTAGGGTTGCCGCCTTTCGGAATAGGCTTCACCACCGCACATTTCTAGTCAACCGGCAACGAACCTTCGGACAGCGACCTGTTGAAAAGGTCAGTCACGACAGGAGAGAGGATGGTTGAAAGTGACTTGAGAACCAGTGGGTGAAGCCCATCAGGTCCGGCAGGTTTGGTGCCGTCAATGTTGGAGAGTAGTTGAGCTACCTCTTCGACGCAGCAATGCAGACTATCGAGTTCGGTAAAAGCGGTACACGTCGAACTCGGACAGACACCTGGTTATTCGCAAATACAGAAGCGAAGTGCGCCGCCAACGCGGACGCACGCTCAGTGCTGGAGGTTAGGGGCTGTCCATCCGTGCCATCCAGCACTGGCACATCACCCGCCGGCTTCAGGCGTCGCTTCACGTATGCAAAGATTCTCTTTGGGGCGGTCTTCGCGGCTAATGCGAGCCGCTCTTCAAAGTGTCGGCGTTTGTTCTTTTTCGCACTGTTGCAGAGGTTCCGCTGACATTTATACCCTTCGTAATCATTGGCAGAGCCAGAGAGAATGAATTTGTCCCACAGTCTGCGACGCCTCCGAGCCAGGTTTCCATACTCCTTATCAAACCAATGAGGCTTAATGGGTCCAACCTTTCGACATTTCAATGGCACAAATTAGGAACACAATGATGTCAATCTATCTTTTATAAATATCCAACAATCTTCCACAGATGCAGCTTGTGACAGAGACCAATCCAGTTGGCTCGCGGCTCGAGCTAGACCATCGAAGTCCGTTTTCCAGTAGTTGGGAGCTGATTGCAGCGGATGTGAATACGGCAAAGATAATTCCATATCAGCTATCAGTACTGAGTGGTCGCTGGTAGCCAGGGGCTCCAGGATCCTAACGTCACGCACTCGTTGTTCGTAGCTCGTTAACATCAGGTCGAGACAGGACGAGGTTGAACGTGTTGCTATGCATGTTGGCTGGCATATGTGTTGCGATGCACCAGTTTCAAGTACCAAATCCACGAACTTTGCTTCAACCTCACTATGTCCAGGCATCAAATACACATCAGGCCATCATATTCGAGGACAGTTAAAATCGCCCATAAGCAGAAAGTGTGGACGACTCATGTGGGTCCGAAGATGGGGCAGCCAATCCAAACAACGACTCAGGGGACTGCGATAAACTGCGCCTACAAGCAGTTCTCCGCGCCTGAGACGGATGGAGCACCACAGTAGCTCACACAGGCCATCGTCACTTCGGTAGGTGCTCACAAGTCTCCCACGCAGGGAGGACCGGATGTAAAGTAAGACACCACCGTGGGCATTCTTTAGTCTGTCGCATCGGAAACACGAGTAACCGTTGAGTTCAAGTTATTGGGTGTATAACTCTGCATGCAGCCATGTCTCTGCGAGTCCCACTACGTCTGGCCGCTCAGACTCAACAAAATAACAAAGCTCATCGCGCTTATTCATAATACTGCAAACGTTTGTGAAGGCTACTCGCAGGCCGCAGCAGGAGCCACCGGGCGTGCTTGAAGTGTGAGCAGCCTGTTTATCCTGATTCGCGGATTGTTGGAAACCACCTGAAAATTTACGATACGAAGATTTGTTTCTCCCTCACCAGTGCGTCTTTTCAACTCAATGATGGCAGACTTGAGCCGCTCCCTGTCTACTGGGTCCAGATCGGGACGAACATGGATCTTCAAACCTTTCAGCCTACTTAGACGAGACATGATCAGTCTTGGACTGGCTTCGTCCACAAAAGTGATTCTCATAGGCCGATTGTGTTGATCACCTTGCTTTCCAAGACGGGTAATCTGTCTCACTTTTACCGAGTCCTCACCAGCGTCGAGGAGTCTATCAATTAAACCCTGTAGAAACTCGACATCTTGATCGTAACGCACTTGAGGTGATGGATCACTGGACTCCGGTGCGTGAAAGATCACGAGATTATAACGCCTCTGGTCGGACGAGGTCGGCCTTGCAGGGCGAAGTATACTACCAGCCTCACGTGGTTTGGCTAACTGTTGACTTACAGAACGTAAACACCCAACGTTCCTTCGTAATTTCGTCCCTATCTGCTGCATCGAGTAGTAGGGACAGGAGTGAGTGTGTTACTGCTCACGCTTTACCGTCTTCTTATCCCCTTTTTGTGCATTTTCACTCTTATCCCCCCATTCCAACTTCAGTTTTACCTATCCACAGTGGTCAACTCTGCAATTACCAGCCCTCTCTTATTTTCTTCAATAGTCGTTTGCCTTTTAGCTCGAATTCACACGTTGTAGCGCATCACTTTGATCTTATCGACAAGTCCATCTTCAACTAAGCGGACAACGTCAGTTCATCCATTTCTATTTGAATCCTCCGATCCTCGCTTAAACTTCATTCCTCGTTCGCACTTTGCTGCAAATCCTTCGACAGGCAGCATTTACCTAACCTCTGGAGACCCGAGCGACCGATATCTGCTACTCATTAGTAACCCGTCTGCAGGAATAGAGCTCTATTTTCACCCCGAGACACCCCCAGGTGTTGCTAGTGGCACCTTCGCGTTGCTTTTGTCCAAATTTGACGCAGCTTCAAATCCCAGTCAAACTGGTGTGGGTGTTGGTCTGAAGCTGCCTTGATCGATTATAACCCATACAACAGCCTCGTGTGTGTCATCAGGCTGGCTGACTCGTTCAAAACGTCGAAGTAACGCGGGGCCATTAGTGCGTCTTTGCCATGACTGCATCTGCTCCCACAAACTGTAGCGGTAACTGGTTAAGAGATGACTACTATCGTCAACAAAGCGAGCTCCTTCATCACGGAAAACGTCCGAACGCTGTCATACTGTCCGTTAATCTGAACAGAAGTGGGAAAATGGCCCACGAACGGACTGCATCTGTGCGACCAGCACGACGTAGGCTCCCATTATGATAACGCTGAAGAGTTGTTACATGTGTGTGAAGATGCTTGTCCATTTCTCGCGAGCACTAACTTCGACACATCCCCTGGCGTCCACCAGCTTCCGATCAGCCGTGGAGGCAACTCGATCACACCGTGATCAAGTACCTTTGGCTGTGCCCATAACTCCAACCATGCACTTCAATCTACCAACCTGTGTGTGTGTGTTTCAGTGGACGTCCGCAACAACATTGTAAATGCATATACACTAGCGAACTGCCGAAACCAGATGTCCTCAATTCGTTTCAAATTACGCGAGCACTGGTTGCATATTCACCAGGCGTTGCTAGCGGCAGTTATCGTTTCGTGTGGCAAATGCGATTGCCAGCTTGGACAATGGGCCTCTATGCAGTCTGTGAAACTTCTGAAAGTGCGCCGACGTATCCTGGTAGGGAGCGACCAAAACGAGACTAGCAAAGATCTCTGCGCGAAACTGCGTGCTAAGCTGAAGAGTAACCGCGATGACTGGTGGTCTCTTCGTTCCTCGGAGATGGATATGGCTGCTGTCCTTGGTAAACATAAACAAATAAATGAATGGTGTATTCTCGACAACGCGCGGCACGCTTTAGTATTCATGATCATAGTAAAACTACACGAACAAGCAGTAAATGTACGGAAAGGTTACAATTTGACCGGTAATGATGAATTTATATCACATGAAGATATATATATATATATATATATATATATATATATATATATATATATATATATATATATATATATATATATATATATATATGGTTGGCGGCATCCGGTTTCGGATTTGCCTGTCACTGTGGCAAGCCACAGGACGCCTGCGCCTACAGAGGGACCATGGATGGCTTGCGCTGCACCACCCACAGCTCCAACCACACACCCCATATCCAGTGTAAACCCGAAGGAATAAGACCGGGAGGCATGCGGATGGGAACCACGTTTCATCAACGGAGCCGGCCCACACTCCTTCACAGGCAAACACAAGCACACTGTATTTGGGGAATCAACCGCACACAAGGCGGTGGCTGGACCGTAGTCCGCTCCACACTGCTGCATGGAACCACTCTTCGAGCCTAACACGGCCACAAGGACCGTGCACCCCGTCCCCTCCAGCAACGACCAACTGTCTCCTGGAGCCAGTATGGACGAGGTAGTGGGTAATAGACAGGTAGGCACCTTGTCAACATGCACATCAAGCGCAGCCACACCGGGGATATCAAACAACAGCCAAAGACAAATGAGAGAGAGAGAGAAAGAAAAAGAGAAAGAGAAGGAGAGAAAAACTCTATTAATGCATAAGGAAACGGTGATATAAACCTTAAGTAAGTAGCATATGTAATAAGTTGATTACATACAAATCCTAGCTAAGTGCACGAGGTCAGGAAATATAGTTCACGGAATGCCACGAACACAAATATGCTACGGAAATCGAATACAATTGGCTGAAGCGATGTGTGCAAGTTAATGGAATAGAGTACTGGTAGACATTTGTATAAGAAAGAAGAGCATTAAGGCACAAACTGTAAACCCACCACCTGAAATAAAGAGACTTAGCATGCAAGCACGCGGTTAGTAAATCGAATTCAGCGTGCCTACAAACGCTGCGCCGGCTCGTCGTAATTCTCTGCAGCACCCGTCGTCGCTTCTGTAGTGGCCCCAAATGGCACAGCTCATGGCCCACTAGACATTTATATGAGAAAGAAAGGCATTAGGAGAGAACCGAAAACCCACCACCTGAAATAAAGAGACTTAGCATGCAAGCATGCGGTTAGTAAATCGAATTCAGCGTGCCTACAAACGCTGCGCCGGTGCTGCCTACGTTCTCTGCAGGACCCGTCGGCGCTTCGACAGTGGTCCCGAGTGACCTCTCTCATGGCTCACTAGGCCTGCCTGACTAAGGCACTCGCGACCGCATGTTCTACAGCACCATGCGCTCGATGTCGATGGAGTACAATTCATTGGTGTTTGCCGCTTCCGCAACTGCCGCTTCTTCTCTGCCTGCATGAGGGCTTTCTCCCGCACTTCAGCAACTGCCTTCGTGATTAGATCGCGCCATGCACCACGATCAACCGCCTTCGATTCCCATGATCTGCAATCAAGATTAGAACGTGTGAGGCTCACTTTAATCATGTCCTGGTAACGTAACTTTGGTTTCCCCACGTGCCGCTTCCCTATACTCAGCTGACCGTATAAAAGTTGTTTCGGTATCCGCGTCGAATCCATACGGCTCACATGACCGAGCCATCTCAGGTGTCGCAGTAAAAGTATGCAGTCCACTGCATACATCCCACTTCGGCGCAAAACTTCCGTGTCTGCGACTCTGGCGCCCCAACCGATCCGCAAAATTCGTCGCAGACACTGCTGATGGAACCGCTCGAGATATCGCACATCCCGACGGTACATCGTCCACGTTTCACTGCCGTATAGAAGAACGGACAGTACCATGGATTTGTACACCATCAGCTTCGTGCCAATGCTAAGCTGATGGTTGTTCCACACTCGGTACTCAAGCTTCCCGAATGACGCTGCTGCCTTCGACACCCGATTACGCAACTCAACGTGTAGCTGTTGATCAGTCGATATCACACTCCCAAGGTAGCTGAAGCGGGAGGTGGTTTCCAATACTTCAGCACCAATGCTGATTCGCGGCAATATTGAAGATTGCACCTCCGGTGAAGGCTGAAAGAGACACACAGTTTTGCTTGTGTTGATGGTGAGCCCGAATTTGACCGCTGTCGAAGCCAGAGCACTAGTCATGTGCTGCAACTCATCCGCGCTGTGTGAAAACAACGCACAGTCGTCAGCAAACAGCAACATACGGATAGTTGTCTCACAGACTAGAGTTCTCGCACCGAAACGACGGATGTTCAGCAACCCACCATCAATACGGTGCTCCACACGAACACCGTAAGCACAAGCCGTATCAAAAGCACAAGACAACATTGCATGAAGATAGATATTAAACAGGGCAGGAGCTAAGACACAGCCTTGCTTCACACCAGAGACAACTGCAAAGTCATCAGAGGTCTCTCCACTCAGCTGCACCCTCGCTCGCATACCACTGTGCAGACATTCAAGTAAACTTACAAACTTACGCGGGCAACCAAACTTACCCAACACCAACCACAATGCCTCGCGGTTCACCGTATCAAATGCTTTGGTGAAATCAACAAAAAGTGAGTACAGTGGCTGGTGTCGTTCTCTGCACTTCTCCTGCAACTGACGAGCCGCAAACACCATATCTATAGTGCTGCGACCCGAACGGAATCCACATTGCTCTTCCGCCACGTTAGGTTCCACAACCTGACTCACGAGGCGATTGAGCAGGATTCGGGCAATCACCTTGCCCACACAACTCAGCAAGTTGATGCCACGATAATTCGTGCAACATTGCTTGCTACCTTTGCCCTTGTACAGTGGTAGCACAAGGGCATCCTTCAGCTCAGCAGGCACCTCCTCCTCAATCCATACACGTTGCACCAAGTGGTGCAGCGCAGTCAACAACGCGGGTCCACCGTGTTTCAATACTTCAGGTGGGATCCCGTCACCTCCGGCACATTTGCCGTTTCGCAGCTGAGCAAGTGCTCTCTGCGTCTCATCCAGTCTCGGCGTATCCGCCAGATCCGCCTTCACATCGTGCTGCTTCAGGCCATTCAATGTAGGCCAGTCGATCTCTGAACGGTTGTTCAAGAGACAGTCAAAGTGTTTCCGCCAGACCTGCATTATGTCTGCAGTCTGGGTGCAGGTAGCGCCTGAACTACCATCGATCAGTGTCCTCAGCGGCTCCAATCTCGGTCCATACACCGCCTTCAAGGAGTCAAAGAATTCCTTGTGTTGACGGCGTTCGGCGTAGCATTCCATCTGCTTCGCCTTCTCCGTCCACCATGCATTTTTAATGCGACGGAGCTCTCGGGTCAGTCGCCGTCGAAGTTTGCGAAACTGACTACTCTTCCCCAAGTCACTGGGGTCTGCAACATGTGCAGCAAATGCTGCATTCTTCTCTGACACCAATGCGTCAATCGTCACATTGTTGTCATCAAACCAATCAGGCCGCTTACAGTTTGCGCGCCCGATGGTCTCCTCCGCAGCAGCTGTCACCTGGTCGCGAATGTGGTGCCACAGGTCGCCCACTGTGGCTATACAGTCCACATCACCACACAGGCGTGCAGCCATCGCCTTCTCCAGCTCAGTACGTTTCGCCACAGTACCGAGGGAGAGAATGTTAAATTTACGCCGATTCACGGCGGGAGTGCAATACATCGATTTACGAAAATATATGTACAGTTTGGTCCGAACCAATTTGTGATCAGTGCCACACTCAGCTCCACGCAGTACACGTGTCATGCGCACTTCACGCATATCACGCTGACGTACGATGACATAGTCGAGCAGGTGAGCGTGACCACTCCGTGGGTGCGTCCAAGTTGCTATATCACTCGCACTCAGTGCAAACCGAGTGTTCGTGATCGTCAGGCCGTGAGTGGCACACAGTGAGAGCAGCCTGTCACCGTTCGCATTCGCTGAACCAATGCCATGCTCACCGATAACATCTGTCCACGCTGATGCATCACGCCCAACGCGCGCGTTGAAATCACCCAGCAGAAATAGTCGGTCGCTCTTCGGCACAGACCGTATCACGGAGGATAGCTCAGTGTAGAACTGATCACGCGTGTCATCAGGATAACACATGGTCGGACCGTACGTGCTTATGAAAGTAGCAAACTTACCTCTTCCGAGTCGTAGGCGAACAGTCATCAGCCGCGCGCTGATGCCCGTTGGTTCACCCACCAGCTGGCCATTCAGGCGGTCGGATATTGCAAATCCGACCCCATGTTCACGTGGTGCTGAGGCGGCGTTCCCCACCCAGTAGAATGTGTAGCCAGCACCTGCTTCATGTAACTTACCTTGCTCAGCGAGCCGAGTTTCACTGAGCGCCGCAATATCGATGTGGTAGCGCGCCAGCTCCATTGCGACCAGTGCAGTGCGTCGCTCCGGGCGCTCGCTCGAGTTCCGGTCCAGTAGTGTGCGCACGTTCCAGCACCCGATGCTGAGTGCTTTGCGTGCAGGCATACGATTGCATTGGTGGGCAATCGCACGCGAGGTGGTCGTTGTGCTTCGGAGGTTTGCTTGAGGGACTCCACCCGGAGCCTTTGGCTCAATAGCCTGACCCACAAGGCAGTGGGTGGTTTGGAGGTTTGCTTGAGGGACTCCGCCCGGAGCCTTTGACTCAATAGCCTGACCCACAAGGCAGTGGGTGGTTTGGAGGTTTGCTTGAGGGACTCCGCCCGGAGCCTTTGGCTCAATAGCCTGACCCACAAGGCAGTGGAGAGCAGATCCAGCTCGGGAATGTGATTGCACAGACAGATTGGGATCTGCTTGACGGCCGTCACACGCAGCCTTTGAGGTTCTGGAACAGTTATCATATGTTTTGCGACCGTAATTGGATACGCACCTGCGACCACGGCCAGACGCAGGTGGGTTTTTGGCGGGTTTGCACCTATTTGACCAGGGGCTGCCTGGCTTGAGGCGGGCAGTAGCAAACCATTGAACACCCGGAGGTGTCCTCCCACCGTCAGAGACAATGCGTGGCACTCGTGCTCTACGCCAATCGAGCATTGAGAATATCACCCGTAACCTGTTGTCTCCCATGGCTAGGTTTTACGGGAAGAGGGCCATCGACCACTTCCTAACCTCCGGAGAGGATGGACTAGGATACTGCCAGGGCGCCCACACCTGACAGGAGAACGACTCGGGTCCTCAGCCAAAGCCTTCGATTAAATGAACACCCGAAAGGCAGCGGGTCTAGCACATGGTCAGTTAGCTGACTCATGCGGATTGGTGTCCTGGATCTTAGCAGGGAGAAGGGCGAAACCTAACTCCCACCCAGCGGTCGCCACGTGGAGGCGCCCAGGACATGAGACTATGGCGCAGCAGTAGCAGCAGTGGGTAGACCATCTGTCAGGATCTAGCCACCACCAGCCTCAGCGCACCATAGGCTCTCCCGCCGATATATATATATATATATATATATATATATATATATATATATAT